CAGTTTCTAGTTTTTCAATTCAAAGTTTTCAATTCAATATCTTTAACTAATGAATATTCAACTTATGTTTCATATATCATTGTTCTTGCTCAGAGAATCAATCAAAGTTGATAATTCTCCACACTCAGTAAAAAACCAGAAAGAACTTTTCAGCAGTAAATGAATCACAGAAGTATTCAAAGATAATTGATTCTTCATAGCAGTTATATAATCTGATTATCATCAAACTTTCTCTGCTCTTTGCCTTCTTCTGTTGAATATGAGTCTATATTAATAAATGATTAGCTAAGTTAATCAAAAAAATTTTAATATTCTACTGAAAAGTTTCAAATTCTTCTAAGATATTTCACTGAAAAGTTGATATATTTGCTAAAATCTAATACTACTTGTCTTCATTTCTTTAAGAGTTCAGAACTTTCATGTTTTAATTGCATTCAGCATCATCATTCTGCTGAATGAAAAGATGTATGATGTTTTATTCTTTGTTTTTGTCACACTTGCAACTGTTCAATTCAAATTATCTTTGTTAAAAGAAAGAAAATACATTTATTTTATCTTCAGACACAGATACTGCTCTGTTGACTGAATTTCCTTCTCATATATTTCTGTATTCAGATGCCAGGTTTGGCAATGCCTTTTTAATGAACTGCTTAATATCAGTGATGAGTTTGACTCCTTCTTATCTGACTGGTATTTGTCATTGCTGTTATTATGTTCATTCTATGTTCAGATATGTCAATATCAGATTTCTTTTAAAATCAGTGATTTGTCTCATTAAATCTATCAGATGAGAGAGTTCAGAGAGATCTAGTAGAGCAGAATTCATGACAATATTCATTTTCAGAATCTTGATAGAACTCTGATAAATTTGTGATATGAATAGAAATATAGTGATTTGATTCTTAATATTAAATTGATGTAGATTGTCACTGATTGCAGCTCTTATTAATATATCTCTTTTCAGTAATTCAATCTCATATATATCTCTTTTCAGTAATTCAATCTCATCTCTTTATTTTATCAAGACTGCTCATTTACTTCATTCATATCTTTTCAACTATACAACTTTTTTCTACAAATTATATCAGAAAGCAAAATGTTATATCTGTTTAATTAAAATCTAAAACACTATCTGCTATCTGTCTCTAGACAAGAATTTAGAGATGATCAATGCCTCTCTTTTCTGAAAACTGCAAATGAAGATTTCACTGACAGTGATTCAGATATTAATACTTCTGATGAAGAAGTATTACTATTTTTAGTAAGTTTATCACTTTTGATATCTCTATTATTATAAAAACTAACATTCTCTAAAGACAGAGTTATATAATCAGAATGCTGCTGATAATATTAAGTATATTAAGTGACTTTTGAAAGCAGCTGCTGAGAAGAATATTTCTGAAAATGATAATCAAGAGAATTCTGATGAGTCAGTTACTAATGATATTGAAATGCCAGCTGCTGATACAATTACTGTTACTATTACTGATCAATTTATTAATTCTGATTCAGTAATTGATATATCTCATAAATACAGTAACTTTGAAATGAATTCATTTATTCTGACAATGAGACTCTGAGCTGAAGAGTCAGATATTTCCTGAAAAAACTACAAATCACTACTGCAAATTCTGTATTTATTGAAGAATACATCACTAATAAGTCTGCTCTCTGAAGATCTATTAACTCTGAAAAAGTAATGCAGAGCACAATTTCTGATTTTATCAGTTAAGAAAACCTCAATTTCAATAGTGTTATTAATATAAATACTAACTCTGAGTTCTGCTCAGAAAAATCTCACTAAATTCTTCATGAGATCACTATACTTTTAAAATCTGATTCTCTTGATATCTGCTCTTCTCAAATCCTCAACTTTCTGATGACAAATGCATATAGAAATGACAGAAATTATCAACAATTTCACAGAGTTATAATAATCTCACAGTTGAGAGAGCTCTGTCAAATATTGTTTCAGTGAATTTGTCTGATATTCATTAATAAATAAACCTATTTTTTCTTCTGATTTTATTCAGTATCAGTGTGAAAAACTTGAATACTACTGTAAATCAGAGTTGAATGATATATCTCATATTAAAAGAGTGTATTTTATCAGACATGATCACTGATATTCAGGCATGAGATCTTATATAATAGTTCTGAAAGTTTAAGAAGCTGTTTACTATACTCTGCAGACTGTATAAAGATTATCATTCTTGAATTCATTATTTAGTTTCTTCAAAATAATTGCAATGAAGAATGAGATGAAATATATCTTAATTATTCAAGTTCTCAATCAACTTAATATTTATATGAATATAATATTTGAATTGAGTTCTGATCTGTCAGTATATAAGAGTCAAGATCAGTATTTTCTTCATCAGATTATGAGAACTAAAACTGAGATAATTAAGATATAATTATATTATAAATCTTCACTGATTCAGACTGAGTTGAAAATTGCAGTATATGAATAAGATCTTTTGAAAAGCATATTTTACTCTGATATACAAGTTATTTCTCTATCATATCAATTATTTATTGATGAATTTGACTTATATCAGAATATGTACTGAAGCTTGATAAGTTTTTATTTAATTTCTGCACTGAGTACTGTTGAGTGTTTAAAGTGAAATAATATTTTTATTCTAATCTTTGATTCTTATAATACTAATTTTTCTGACATAGTTACTATATTATTATATGACTTATCTACATTGAATTGTAAGAGAGTTATAATGAATATTGATGAAAAAAAGATGAGAGTGATTACATCTTATATTACATTTCTTAAAGATATATCATAGTAAAATAGTAATACAGAGATCAAAGAATTAATAGTAAGAAAATTATACTAAAGCTGCTTTATTAATAATAAGAATCAACTGAATCTGAACTATGATCTATATAATAACAGTCAATTTCACTATTATATACAACATCTTCAGACTAAACTGAATAATCTGTTAAATCTCATATATAGAGATTAAATATATTAAGAGTAAGAAATGATATCACAGACTGTATCTCTTTTTCAGATATATTTAAGTTTGAATTTAATCTCTTTTTTTCTATCTGATTCATATTATAGTGAGTTTACTGATATATCAGAGATTTCACACTCATTACTGATCAGTACTGTCTTATCACTGTATAATCAGCTAGAATACTTCTGAATATTACAGATATTTTCTTTTTCTCATAATTAAAATTATCTACAGTTACTGATCACTCATCTCAAGAAGTATCAGCTTCAAGAACATGCTCAAGCTTCAATCATTATATCTCTTATCTTACAGTGTAAGCTTAAGAAGAAATGACTTAATTCAGTGATTAAATAGATTATTTCTACAGTATTTTCAGCATCAAATCAATCATCTATTAATCTTATTATTCAGATATATGCAGTCATTGTAAGAAATAATAGTCTATTAATATCTCAATCTCTGAGAGAAAATGATTCTGAAGTAACTTATTAAATTATACTTACAGTCTATTAACAGCTATAATTTCTTATTAAAGTTATAGTAAGAGTAGCAGTGACATTTGAATCATTCTAAGCTGATTCAGTTATTAGTTATCAGTCATTCTCTGCTTCAATAATGAGCACAGTTACTATATATATTAATGATTATATTAAAAAAGCAAAGCTTATATAATATATAAAGAATCAGTTAAATATATATATTGATTTACACTATATTAAGCTGATTAAAGAATATACTGTATTTAATAACTACAATGTTCTAACAGAGAAGAACAAGTATTGAGACTATAAGAATCTAGTATAGTGAATAAATCATCAGAATGTAAAGAAGATAGTACTTTTATAGAAGAGCTTTCACTGTATCTTATAACTAGTATTAAGAGATTCTTTTAACAGATCTGACTTATGTCTGATATAGAAGATTTAACAGCTATATACAGTTTATTCAGCACTATTCAATAATCTGCTGAGAATGAATAAAGAATCAGATAATAATAATAATTCACTGAACTACTCTATCAAGTTAAAGTTAATAAAAGATTATATTATTCTGAAGATTTTTAGTCATCTATTATTAAATAAGATATCAGAGAAAGTCAGTATATAATTTATAAATCTCTTAAAGCTTAAACTTCTTTATCTCTTTTTTAATAAGCTGTGAGAATTCTATAATACTGATTGAAATAAGTTCTCAGTTTTGAAACTAGATTATCATTTAATTCTTTTCTATAATAAGTTAATATTCTCAGTTCAGTATATTTATCAATTAATCAGTTATTAACTTATCACTAACTTATAAATCAGAGATTGCATTCACTGAATCTCTCTTATAAAAGAGAATATTATTCAATATTAAAAGACAGAGCTTGACTAGATTATAATTATATTTATTTATAAAATAAGAGAAGTTAAGTGAATTTTCTTTACATTTATTTCTCTATATTATATTATATATAATCATCTACTGAATCTGCTGATTTTATAAGAGAATTCTGATAATTATACTATTATCAGACTGCTGATAATTTGAAAGACAGTATTGTATAATATTTTAATACAGAATAGTGATAAAAATAATAATTATTTAATATATAAGTCTCAGATAATAAGATATTTATATTACAATTGAGATGTCTTATTTCTTTAAATAGAATAGATAGTTAATGAATAGCAGCTGTTATACTGAGTAATAGATAACTAACTAGCTTAATAGTATTGATTTCACTGACAGAACAGTATACAGTGTCTCATAGTATCTTAGTAGTATTCTGATGATGATATCTGTCAATTACATGATTACTGAGTAGTGTCATAATGATGTTAGAAAGTTCTGTACTATCTCAACATCATCTTGACATTTAATATTCAGCAATGTGTTGCTGAATATAATGATGGAACATGTGTTACAATCGGCGACACGTGACACGGGTGGAATGGTGGATCCACGGTGTAATCACCGTAAATTAACCCTACGTTCTTCCGGTATGGATATCCCGGCTGTGGGGAGAGTCACGTGGCAGCGCTAGCCCCAGGAATGCGGAGACGCTTGGAAAGTGGAGGGTTAATGTACGCAGTAAACGAGCGCAGCGCTTGGCAGAAACCGGAATCATGGCGGCGCTGATGTGACTTGTTGAGATTGCTGGATACTTAATCTAATCTAATTTTGGAGGAAAAAACAAAAAAGTATTTCAAGGGACAAGGTCATGGCGGGGCGGACATGTCCAAAGAGCTGGATATTTCATGGCTTGCATATGTGAGGCTATCTGGGGTTTCCTACCTATTTGTACATGTACTGTACATGTACAACGGCTTAAATGTACACTATCCATGTAGACTCTTCATCTTGTCTTTGTTAGTTCTGCCTCCGATGGCGAATTCTTAAATGTGGTGTTTTAATTTGACTGTTACGGTGATTGCGCGCGTTCAATCGCATTCAACTTCCCGACCCTAAGACAACATCTGATAACGACCTATGATATCAGAGTCCCAATGCCAGGTTCCAAACTCAAACAGAATTATGCCAAGGCTCCCATACAGACGTTCATCGCAAACGCGATATGATTTTGGGTATACATGAAATCTGCCGTGATTCGGCTTCAGCCACCGTTCTCTCGAAGTTTAGCGAGCGCTGCCATGACACCATCATTTAACTGCTCCTCGTGTTGATCTGAGCGGCGTATGCTTGATTCGGATTCATCCTCCTTTGAGGGAAGGTTTTCAAGTTCTGTATCATTTAGACCCTTCCGTTGATTTTTGTGAATCTGGCGTCCGGCATTCGCGGACAGCCGCCTTGGCGCATCGCGATCGATTTCTTCGTTATGAGCAGCGAGAAACGCACTTTCTTCCTCAGTAAAATCCTCTTCCAGAGTCCTAGCTTCTCTGGTATTATCTATAGGCGGCTTTGCCCTCCGCTTGGCGGTCCTCCTTATCTGAAAATCATCTGTTACAGCATCATGCCACTGTTGGACCTTCCTTTCCCCCCATCCTGGAACTGCACTGATTTGCTCTGGCTGAGCGTTGACGGCGGCCTGTAAACTCCCGAATGTTGATATTAAGCTTGCCGCGTCCGATTTGTTGATACTTCTTGGAGCAGTAATGAACTCTACTAGGCTCTCGTTATATGACTGTGATTGCTGCGTGCGTATAGCAGTCGGTTGCGCGTGTTCGCAAGACTTAAAAAGTTCCAGATAGTGCCCTGCTTCAGCCGCAGACCAGCATAGAATCAATGTCAGATTATTGACGATTGATGTCTTTGATAATTCCCTAAGGCTGTCTTCGTGATTCGGAATATCGATCAGAGTTAAAAGAATGCGTAAATTGTACTTTCCCGCCAGGCCCTTGATTCGCGCATAGATGTATTCAGGGTGCAAACGGTAGTATTTTAACGATAGAAAGAGGACGCAGGTCGCGCTCCCCACGACGTAGTCTGCGGGAATGTCTGCATATTCCCAAGGTATGTGTCGCACATGGTTGAGAATTGGGTTCCCTCTTTGCCTTGCTGAAACTAGAATAGCAGAAGGGCCTGATCGGCTTGGGAGTGCTTGGGGTTTGGGTTGCTGGACTTTGGGTCGTTGATCTGAGGTTGTTGGTGCAGCAGAGCGCGGTAGGCTTTTATCAGATTTATTTGGCTGAAGCAACTCATCAAACTCTGGGATATCACCAAAGTCGTCGTCCATGTTGTTTCGTGATCTGTTAACACTGCTCAGTTCTTAAAAAGAGGAAGTTCAAGAGAGTAAAGCAGGAACAACAGTATGTAGCCTCCGAGATATAGGAAAACAGACTTGATTTCTGCGGCCCTTTATCCTAGCTTGGGAAGCTGAAGACTGAGCTTGCTAGTCAACATTATATGCGGCGTATATTATAGGCGAGTTCTACCAATGAACATGAGGTGACAACCAATTAAACGCGCGGCTAAAATTCCCAAAACTACCCGCTCCTTAGTTTTTGCAACTGAAGTTTAATTTTCGGCAAATCAAGATTTTCCCAGATAGCTGCCAAAAACCCCAAGTATGGCAGAAACACGCAAAAGAAGACGTCTATCAGACAGTGGGAGCTTCCAGGAGGACGGAGGGGTCCCAGCGACAGAACAACAAACTGGGACGGTTGCGGATGGTGATGCTGCGGCTTCCTCGCAGCAAAAAACCAAATCTCGCCGAACACTTTTCGTGCGCTCCCTCCCTGCATCGGCAACGACAGAGAGTTTAACAGAGTACTTTTCGCAATCATACCCCTTAAAACATGCTACCGTCGTTCTAGATCCTCAGACAAAACAATCGAAAAGCTACGGATTTGTCACTTTCGCGGACCATGAAGATGCTGCGAAGGCCTTAGAAGAATTCAACGGCTCGGTTTTTGACGGGAAGAAACTCAAAATTGAGGTCGCTGAGCCACGCCATCGAGAGATTGACGAAAAGGGGGGGAAAAGCGTGTCTACTTCAAACCTGAAACAAGAGCGAGAAAATCGAAAACTCCAAGCTCAGCCCCCCAAACTCATCATCCGAAATCTGCCATGGAGCATAGCAGAACCGGACCAATTAGCCGCCCTTTTTCGAAGCTTTGGCAAGGTCAAACACGCGGTTATCCCGAAAAGAGGTACTCAGCATTCTGGGTTTGGATTTGTGGTATTAAGGGGTAGGAAAAACGCTGAGAAGGCGCTGGAGGCGGTCAACGGCAAGGAGATTGATGGAAGGACCCTGGCTGTTGATTGGGCGGTGGAGAAGAGCGTTTGGGATGAATTGCAAAATAACCAGGACAAAGGTGCTGATGGGAAGGACAAAAAGAAGGAGCAGTGTGATAATGACGATGATGGGAATGGGGAAGACGGAGATGAATCCGCTCTAGATGATGAATTGAATGGTGGGCTGGAGGAGGAGGGAGAGGATGAGGATGAGGACGAGGATGAAGACGATATTTCTATGGCAGATGCTGATGAAGATGAAGAAATGGATGAGGAGGTTGAAGATGAACGAAACGCTTCAACGATTTTTATCCGCAACCTGCCTTTTAGTGCTACAGATGAAACTCTCTACGAACATTTCGTTCAATTTGGGCCTTTAAGATATGCCAGAGTTGTGGTCGACCCGGAAACAGATCGGCCAAGAGGAACAGCTTTTGTTTGCTTTTGGAAACACGAGGACGCAATATCTTGTCTTCGTGATGCCCCTAAACGAACAGATTTACCGCGGGCGGAAGAGTCTAAGGCCAAGATATCTACCATAAAACATTCAGTGCTTGAAGATGAAAACAAAGACCCTTTAGGTAAATATACAATGGATGGTCGGGTTCTACAGTTATCTCTCGCCGTGAGCAAATCCCAGGCCGCTAAACTTGAGGCCGAGGGCAGCTCGCGCAGGGAGGCTCGCGATAAAGACAAACGACGACTATTCCTTCTCTCTGAGGGTACCATCCCATCTAATTCCCCTCTCTACAAACAGCTCTCACCGACGGAGATTGCAATGAGAGAAGCAAGCGCCAAACAACGACAGAAACTCATCAAAAGCAATCCGATGTTGCACATCAGCCTTACCCGTCTATCTGTCCGTAACATACCTCGGAACATCGACTCCAAGGCTCTGAAGGCCCTTGCGAGAGAGGCAGTTGTCGGCTTCGCGAAAGACGTGAAGGGCGGTCTGCGTGAGCCATTATCAAAGGAGGAGCTTCACCGAAGTACTGATGACATGAAGGAAGAAGACAAGTTGCGGAGGGCAAAAGGGAAGGGTATCATCAAGCAGGCCAAAGTCGTCTTCGAAGGCAAAGAGGGTAGTAAGGTTGACGAGAAAAGCGGAGCTGGACGTAGTCGCGGATACGGATTCATTGAATACTACTCCCACCGCTCTGCGTTGATGGGACTTAGATGGCTCAACGGACACGCAGTTGCTGGTCCCGACAAGAAGAAGAAACGGCTCATTGTCGAGTTTGCGATCGAGAACGCGCAGGTTGTCAAGCGGAGGCACGAGAAGGAGGAAAAATCGCGGAACCATGACGACGAAGGCGGGAGGCAGCAGGCACGTCCCCAAAAGAACGCATTCCCAAATCGTCGAGATTCTTCAAAGCCCGGCTTCCCTGCCAAGCAGGGGATGAAGCGAAAGTGGTCTGAAGGCGCTACTGGGCAAGGTAATCCAAATCCGATAGCGGCAAACAAGGCTGATAATGCGAAAGACGCCAAGCCTGAGAAGGATAACCAGATAGCGAAGAGAAACAGAATCATTGCAAAAAAGAGGATGCTGAGGAAGAATAGGAAGTGAATTAACCGATATCCCCATCAACATTCGTTGATTGGGCCATTTTTATTTGCGCTGCTTTGTAGTTTGTTTCATATTACTTATATATGCAGGCGTCGAGATTCGGAGCAATGCAAATTTACCCACCATGAGCTTGCACATAAATAAGCCTGTTCTATACATACTAACATCTTCAACCGATTTGAGTCCCTTCCTGCACACTGTGTAGCTCAATTTTGGAATGCAACTCAATGACGTCGCTTGAAATGTATACATATATCTGGATCAGGAACTTGTAGAGTTACCCATATTATGCATTCATGAAAACACAAAAGATGAGAAAAGAAAGGAGGAGTCCTACTCCCCTTCACCAGACGCGACTATGACCAGAGGAAGATCTGGTAGGAAAAGAGAAAAAATGTTACAAGAAAAAAAAGTCATTCATTCGTTGAGACCCCCTGGATTATCTCCCCTTACTCACCCCCCTTTCTGTGCAGGAACGTCTTAGGTATTCGTAGCGCCTTCAACCTTCCCCACAATATTGTACCGCTTGCTGAAGAAGGTAAACCATTCTTCCAGCACCCCCTTTTCCTTGTCAGGCAAATCGTGCCACTCCGGTCTGCAGTCCTCTAGCTTCAGTGAAGAAGAAGCTAGAGCTCGCGAAGCGTCCTTTCCAGCGAATACTATGTGACGAAAGAAGTGTTCGATTTAGCGCTTGTCCACAAGATGTCTTGTCATATATATATACGCCATCCACATAGTAAAGAGCAGGCTACGGAGAAACCATACCGTGATAATTACCACCGGGTCCGTAAGCAGGGTTTCCAGAAACGTTGAAGACAACGCCCTTGATCGCAACGAGAGTCGGGCGATTTGGATCAGTGCCTAGCAAGAAGTTATCGGAGATCAGCCTAACCAATTCAGTCGTAGGTCTCATCTATCTATCTTGTCTAGTGAGAGCCCGAAAAATTTCAAGGAGTAACAAAAGACAAAGAGAAACACCGAAAAGAAAACGAGTAACAATCGGCGATATCACGATTATCACGGCGGTAGTTAGGCTTGTTAATCCCCAGTCGATGTGTTCTGCATACCGTCTGATTTGCTTAGCTCCTCTACCGAAATTGGATCATCCTTTGGCGGATCGAGGTTCGTTGCCTCCTTCGACATAATCCCTTTGCCCGTCATGGCGGTATATTCTTTCCTGGTTTCCCCCGCGCGTGTTGATCGTTGGTATAGCTAGCTAACTGCTCTCTGTGGAGCGGTTCGGGTTTTGGAGGGAATTAGGCTCTCGCTGGATCAGGCGGTAGAGGGTTAAGCGGTGTGCGCAAGCTAGGTGCCACGTTCGGGACACTGGCTATTGAACTTGGCTATACAATTCTTGATTTTTTTGAAAGCTTGGATGCTTTGCCCAGGGCCGGTTGTGACGATTTCCGCATGGATAATATTTCTTTGGCGGGGGACACCATCACGTGGATTGCGGGATATTTATTTAACTTCATCGACACCACAGATGAGATATATTTACATTATTGGAACGGAATCTATACAACTGCATATAAATCTGATGCTGAAACCAGGCCAATGGCCGATGCAGGTCATCCTCCCATTCAGGTGGTTGGCATAAATACGAAACAAGGTCCATCGGCCATCCGTGTGAAAAGGATCGAACTACGGAATATCAACTCTGGATTGAGAGACGGCAACGCCTAGCACTCGTCTTTTTATTCCCAAACTCCGAATTATTATTAGCCCCAGCCCATTCATAAATGCCGGGTCTGGTCAGTCCGGTTTGCGACGTATCCGTTCCTGAAGCATTCATTGCCGCTAGAGCTACGGGTTCACGCTGATTCCGAAAGCATTCAGGTTGGCATTTTAACCTCTGTTAGCCAAGAAGAAAAAAGGCAGCTTGGGGGGAAGTTGTCGTCCCGGATTTATTCACGAGCATATTGAAATTCTGCGTGGCTGTGACGGGATTTTTCTTTCAGGCCTTGGATCAAGTTGCTCCATTAGGCATATGTTGACATCGATTTCACCACCACCACCACACACATATATATATATATATATATACTTTGAGACCGAACTCGCGATTGAATAAGAACCTTCCTCCAAAACATGCTTTTATTGGCCTCCTCAGCAGAACAGCAGTCAAAAGGAGGCAGCGAAACTTGAACAAAACATGACGGACGCTAATCATATGGCAAGAGAATAGCACGAAATGAAGCTTCCGTTGAGAAGGCCCTCAAAACTTCGTTTACACAGCCGCTGGCGGGGATAGACAAAAGGTATTCCGTTAATTCACGGCTTCGGTCAGGTCCGATTCTGACCAGCGAGCCCGGGGTAACTCTGGACTTATGCAACATTCTCAGGGACAATGTATTCCGGATTCCCGAGAAAACAGACCATTTTTGCGAGACCAGTAGTAAACATGCCGTGCCCTGATTCATCCCTTGCTAGATGTGACTACTATAGAACTCTGTAGATATGCGTTGGTGGCAGAGGGAACTAGTTAAGCCTCAAGCCAAAAGAAGGGTTATTTTTTGTTGTATTGCAAACCAATTTTTGTTTTCTTCCAATCCAATCTCTGACTGGCGATATAAAACTGTGTAGAAGAGATTGCTATATATGGGAGATATTACCATCAATTCTACGGATGCAATTAGCTATAGATACTCAGTCCCACACGCGACTTGTAGTCTGTAGAGGCGATAAAATTCTCTTCGAACAACACACACAGCCGCAGTTGACGAGAACTTATCCCAAGATTCATTGGCCAGTTCGCAAGGGGATCCGCGAAAACAAGGACGAGGCTAAAAGAAAATAAGCTTGACAAGCTTCACTTCCTAGCAGCTAGTTAGTTAACTAAGCATTGAGCCGGGTGGGTGGCTGTGGCGGCGCCCCAAGCACTAGATAGAGGCTAGGGGTGCGTTGTCCGCCGTGGCTACTTAAAACTCCCCCGAACCTCGCACTCGGAATCTTGTCACACTTCTTTTTGAACCGGGATCCGGGGTTGAGGGGAGAGAGGAGGTCTGACTGACGCCATATAACGTCTCTCGTCTCGTCTCTTCTTTCCCCCCGAAAAGGAAAAAGCTGTCCTACCTAGCAAAGTCCCTCCTCTACGACGACGAGTCCGGCTTCTTTCGATTTGGATACTTGGATATTTGGCCGAGCTCAAATGGCCAATCCCGATCCCGAATTTGGTTGTCAGGTAGAACCGACCGAGCTTCGTGCTTTTAACTTTTTTTTTTCTCTCTTCTCTCTTTTCCTTTCCTTTCCTTTCTTTTCTTTTCTTTTCCAGGTATTATATATTCGTCTATTTCCCCGTCCATGTGCCCCTCCTCTGTCTTTCTTGTCTTTCTGCTGCTTGTATGTTTCCACCTCGCCTGACAGGTAGGGCTTCTCCCGGAAGTCTGCGCAACCTTAAACCTTTTAAGAAGCATGTATAAGGCCACACCCACTCGTCCCAGGGGTAAAAGGTAGGGAAAAAGAAAAAAGAAGAAAGACAAAAAGGAAAAGAAAAAAGACATTTTGCCCTCTGCCATCTCTCCAAGAAGTCCGTAGAGTAGGACAGAAGACGACGGATTAGCCCTCGTTCGCAGCAGATTCAAACTTCAAAAATGGGCCTTCCAGAATCCGCTCCCATCTCAATTGAGAACATCGCGCAACCCACAGCCAGATCCTCTGACGTCGAAAAGTTCCCATCCGGCGAACTGCGCAAACGACCCTACACCGATTTTCTCGAACCGGTTTTCACTGGCTCAAACGATGCCTCTTCAACCGACGAGGCCGGGTCCCTGAAACGCTCCGCCGACCAAACTCACCGCAAACTAAAGCCGCGACATATCCAGCTGATTGGGATTGGAGGCACGATTGGGACGGCGCTCTACGTGCAGATTGGGAAGGGCTTGATGAATGGCGGCCCTGCGAGTTTGTTTCTTGCGTTCACGCTGTGGTAAGTCTGGGCTTTTTTTTTTTTTTTTTTTTTTTTTTTTTTTTTTTTTTTTTTTTCCCTTCTGCCTTGCTGCTCTTTGGCGAGAGGTTGTTTTTTCTTTTTCCCTCTTTTTCCTTTGTTTCAAAAAAGAGTCTGCTTCTTGTGCATCAGATGGCTACTTGGAACAGGAGAGGGAAACAAACGAGGGAGGAAGCGCAAAAGGGTCGAGGTAAGTGTGGGAGATTGAGTATTGAAATCTATGATACTGAAGCTTCTCTCAGAAGAAGGAGAAAGTCAGGACATTGAAAAAAAAGAAGAAAAAAATGACAGTTAGGTAGAGGAGAAGGCTGCCTCTGTTGCATCACTGAGTATTAAAATATAGCAGATGTTCTCGTTCTTTAAACAGGGGACAAAAAAAAAAAAGAAAAAAAAATCACTGAATGAAATTTCTCCTGCATTTCCATTTCACCCCCCTTCCTTTGCCCCTCTGGCTTTTGTTAACGATATCTTGCATATATGAATCTCATTTCCATCTCTACAATAGGTCTTCCTTCATCCTAGCTGTCACCATATGTAAGATTCTTCCCAGAAGTCTTCTCTTTTTCAGCCCTTATGGCCCCGCGTCTCGCAACCAAAAAGAAAACCCCGGAGAAAAACTGCAGATAAATATTCCACATCTGTTATCCTGCCCAAGCACGCCCTTTTTTCTTTACTTTACTTTCTTCCATGCAGCCATGTTGCCTCATATATCAGATCAGAACCTTGGAGAAAGCAAAATGATGCCCCAATGCGACATTTGTATCACTATCTACATCCCCTTTACCAGGACCACAGCTAAGATGAGGGGACCTCCTCTCTGCCCCCCCCCCCCTCCCCCTTTTTCCTCCACCTCCACATCCCCTATTACTATTTATTACATTTGGGCCATATTTACTTCCATTCCACGTATTATCCCACAGAAAAGAAAAGATTGGTTTATAAAATTTAAGGAGGAAAACTGATTCTGTTTCCCCCCCCCCCCCCCCCTCTTTTTTTTGCGACTGGTTGGCTAAAAAACAAAACTAAAAAAAATAATACAGCTATGGCAGAGATGGTCACATATCTGCCTATATCGTCACCGTTTATCCGATTCGCCAGCCGCTATGTCGACGAGGCCTTCGGCATGGCTACGGGATACAACTTCTTCGTCTTCGAGGCGGCCATGGTCCCCTTTGAGATTGTGGCTTGCAATGTCATTATCCACTATTGGAGCGATGTTGTCCCTGTGGCGGGTATCATTACCATCGTGCTGGTGGCTTACGGGTAGGCCCACCATTTTTTTTTTTGGGTAGTAAAACTGGATACTAAGGATGATTCCGTTTGGGGAAAAAATAGTGTCATCAATTTCTTTGCAGTGCAGTGGTATGGCGAGTCTGAATTCTGGCTCGCGCTAGGTAAAGCGCTTCTCATCATTGGTCTCATCATCTTCACTTTCATCACCATGCTTGGTGGGAACCCGCTGGGCGATCGATATGGATTCCGCTACTGGCGCGAGCCCGGCGCCTTTGCTGAGTTGTATAAAACTGGAGATCTTGGCCGGTTCCTGGGATTCCTGCAATGTTTAATTCTGGTAAGCTGCTGCAGGATTCCCCTGTTTGTAAAAGTAGCATTGAATCTGTTGACTAATGACCCCACTAGGCTTCCTTCACAATTGCCGGACCAGATTACGTATCGATGGCTGCTGGAGAAACAGAAAATCCACGTTATGTCTTGCCCCGCGCGTTCAACGCCGTCTTCTACAGATTGACCGCCTTCTTCGTCCTGGGCAGCTTATGCGTGGGAATCGTTGTTCCCTACAACGATCCGACAATGTCAGACGCCTTCGGAAACGGCTTACCGGGCGCCGCTGCATCCCCCTATGTTGTCGCCATGGACAGGTTACAGATCAAAGTGCTCCCGCACATTGTCAACGCAATGGTGCTGGGCGCGGCATTCAGCGCAGGAAACTCTTACGTCTACTGCGCCAGCCGCAGCCTGTTCGGCCTCGCCCTTGAAGGAAAAGCACCCCGCATCTTCACCAAGTGCAACAAGCACGGCGTGCCGGTCTACTGCGTCCTGCTTGTCCTGCTCATTGCACTGCTGTCCTTCCTCCAGGTTTCCAACGAAGCTGCCGTCGTGTTGGACTGGTTCGTCTCCCTCGTGACTGCTTCGCAGCTGCTCAATTTCTTCGCGGTAGCCTTTACGTTCACCCGGTTCATGAAAGCGCTGGACGCGCAGGGTGTCACTCGCGACTCGCTCCCATACAAGGGGCTCCTCCAGCCATATCTTGCATATTACGCTTGCGCGGGGACGCTGACCATGGCCTTTGTGGGAGGGTATACGGTATTCTTACCTGGGAACTGGAGCATACCGACGTTTCTATTCTCGTACACGATGATTGGGATTTGCCCGGTGTTATTTCTCGGGTGGAAGTTGATCAAGAAGACAAAGTGGCTCAAACCTCATGAAGTCGACTTGTTCAAGGATGTCGCCGAAATTGATGAGTATACAAGAAACTTTGTTCCCACTCCGCCGAGGTAAAGTTTTTTGTTTCTTTTTGATGCTGTTTCATTTTCCCCTTCTAGATGAAGATGAGCTAGGGTTAGGGCTGAGAGTGGGAATTTGGCTTTGAAAAATCTTGGAAGCTAACAAATGGCCCCCCTGAACACAGAAACTGGGTCGACAAATATTTCAACAAGCTCTTCGACTAGTGTGGACGCCTTTGTATACGCATATCAGCTTGGCGCGCCGCCACGGTTTCTTCTTTCCTTGCTCTTTCCATCGTTGACGCAAACGCAGAGTTTTGGCGACTCCTCAGCAGCAGCAGTGGCACGCCTTCGTACGAATCAATGTTCATGTAAAGAAATGTATGTGTAAACGTAGTCGATGTCACCCTTTATTTCCTAGATAACGATCATGAACGCTCTCTATTACCTCTTTGGGTGGATGAATCTGCGCCGTTGAAGTCTATTTATGTCGAATGTTGGTGCTTCCTAGTTGTTTTACTTTCTTTTTTGAAAGTAGTCGCTTGCCTTGGGTGGTAGATCTCCAGCGCTCTGTCACGTAGTTAGATACTTACTGGGTTGGTGCGGTTTTGTTCGTGTATAAGATGAGTAGACAGTATCTTCTGTCTTTGCCTCGAATTCCGGATTGCTTGCGGGATTCTACAGATATAAATATGAATATATATATATCACACATTTATCAATCGGTACGCTGGTGTACCTAGCTGCGGCATGAAGTGCCATGCTCATCGAAACCACCAGTTGACCTATTGTAGTTTTGATAAAATTAGCAGACCAGGAATTTTATACAGCGAAGCTATCTCATGCTAGGCCGTACGTAGCTTATGACGGCCGATCTCAGAGGGCCAATAATATAGAACAACTTACCGAAGCCGTGATGCCCTCACCAACCCCCTTAATACTATGCCACCAGCCCATTGGTATAAAAATACCGTCTCCAGCATTCAGTTGCGCCTCGAATCCTTCCTTCATTTCCGGACTGACGCTTTTACTTTCTCCATCCACCCCGATTTCCATAGTATCCCCCCACACGTCCTTTTCAAGCAACTCCTTCTCCAACCCTTGCATCATCTCCTCCCCACGGAATTTGGCGTCACCCACGGTTATACTGTTTACTTTTAAATTTGCATCCTCCTTCTGCCGCTGTAAAATCGTTCGCCTAACCCGCTCAAAGACCCTTAGTCCCGTATCTGGAGCATACAATCTAATAACCTTACGCCCAGCCATCTGGACGAACAGATTCGGATTAGGGTCCCGGTGGAGGGGAGTGTACGTGGGTGGGACGCCCATCCATATATTCGTATCGTATACATCTCCCTTGCCCGACTTTGAGACGAGAGCCGGGGTGGGAAAGTCTAAGCGGAGTGTTGGGGGAAGGTCGAGGAGTTGGCATTGGGCAAGGTATAGATTCGTATTGGGAGGAATACCCTCAGCACTGAGCGGAGCAGTTGTTTTGGTCCAGTTGAGGAATAGGCCTAGGGGTGCGTATAGGCGCTGGAAGGCGGGAGTTGCTGTGGAGTCAGGGTTCTGAGAGGAAGTGAATTCGACAGGGACGGAGCAGTCACTGTGTTTCTCTAAATAGGTGTAATTGAGGCTACTAGTTGAGGGCAAAGCACTAGAACCGTAAGCGGAGGAGGAGGAAGGGAAAGAAGGGATTGAGAACCATTTCTGGATAGCTGGGAGCTGGGCAAAATGGCCTCGAGGGAGGATGACAGGGAGCTGTGGCTGAAAATATGAGGTTCGGAATGCAGCGATGTCATGGCTGGGGAGGGTGTCGAGCAGTTTGAAGAGTAATGGAGGTTTTATCTTGCCTCTGACAGCTGAGGATGATGAAAAGGCCTTTCTCATCTTGATCTATTTATCCAGTTGGATATAGTTTAGAGAGGTAAGTCACATACTCCCGTGACTAATATCAAACCACCCGAGAAGTTCGGAAGCCATATATTTAGTTAGCGCTCATCCTGACCCGACGGCAACGCGCTGCCTTGACCTATTTAACTACCCCACAAAACTCGCTCCCAAGGCGCTGCGACGGGCCAACATCTCCCCCCAGTCCCAACGTCGATCGACTCTGGCTGGATCCATTATCTGCGACCTTTTGTTTTTTCTTCTTCAGGCGTTTGTTATAGATGTCATTCGGACAGGCGGCCGCTCTTCTAGCGCAATGACATCTACCTTCCCCGCTGGCGATGCCGCTCTCCATGCAGTCAGCGGCAGCAGCAGCAACAATGGCGGTGGCGACGCTGCTAAACGAAAAGCGGAACCCAACAGCGGAACTCATACGCGGACAAAGCGGAATCGGTACATCTCGCTGGCCTGGTTAGTTTCCTCGCTCATACGACTGTCATACGACTGTCATACGACTGTCATACCGTGCCATAAGACGATGGCTGTTGTGGGTCTCCTGTAACTCTGACGTATGTTAAATAATACAGCAATGAATGCAAGCGTCGCAAAATCAAGTGCAATGGCCAGGTACCATGCCAGCGCTGCGGGCATCTTTCTCTGGAATGTAAGTTCGTCTTGCACTGATTCTGGTGGGCACTTAGCCGCATCAAGTTGTGAGCTGAGGCTCACTCATTTCGCAATTGCAAAATAGGCCTATATGCCCCTAACTGCTGCACCCGTAGCATTAAAGATTCAGAGTAAGTAACATGGTCTACCGGTTATTTCTGCTTTATTTACCTAGGTAGCTGAAATTTGTCTTTATTTGGTATATTTGCTACTGCCCTTAACCAAAAACAAAATAAAAATAAGAGATAAAACTAAAACTAAGACTATGAATTGTTCTACTAACTAATACGGTTTGTCTTCAGGGAATTTCGTTCGATGAAAGAGCATATCGAGACATTACAAGATCAAGTGAACACCCTGTTTGCTAATATAAACGAGCTATATCAAAAGACCGACTCATCGGCTGTTGAATCCAATGCATACGGTCGAGAACTTTCACGCTCCCTCTCCCAGCCAAGCTATGATTCTCAAAATCAAACTCCGCCGCGGCCTCGCTCCAATCATCCTCGTTTCCATGGGCCCACCAGCACGACGTTCAATCTCCATGTCGCCAAGTCAAGCTTGCAAACGATGGGAATTACTCCCGCTGAGGATGGAAATCACGACTTATTTGCAGGTCAGGATGCGACGCCAGTGGACTCACCACCTCCGCAACAGCAACAACTACCTCCTATCCCACAGCTTTCGGCCCATCCGAACAAAGATCCATTGTGGGTCATAAAACGTGAGGAAGCCATTAGGTTATGCCGGGTTTATGAACGGGAAATCGGAATCATGTACCCTCTCCTTGATATTGAGAGGCTGATTACGCACACTAACCTGCTCTTCACGTTCCTTGAGGCCGCTTCTCGGACTGGATTCACGAGACGTTTTAAACCAGGACCTGATATGCTGACTGACGATGACACTTGTATCCTTAAGATGGTCCTTGCAATTACGTTGATCGTTGAAGGCAACGGCCAGAGTGCCCTAGGGATTCGACTTTTCACTACTACAAAACAGAGGATTGAGATGAAACTTTGGGAGCCAACGGATCTCAGAACAATTCAATTGTTTGCACTCATGGTATGCTGATCATGGGCGAGATGACTTGGGATGCTATTTATAGAATTACTCTGTTTAGCTAAGCATGCTGCAGGCCACATACCATTTTCATACTGACGAAGATAATATGGCTTATCGGTTTATCGGCCATACCACCCGCATGTGTCTTGAGCTTGGGCTGCATAGAAGAGATGGCATGTTTAAAGTTTGCCCAAACGAAGCGGACATACCTTCTGTTGCCAAGCTGTTTTGGTCAGTCTACTGCTTGGATCGACGATGGAGTTTTGGCATGGGTTTACCATTTATCATTCAGGATGAAGACATCGATTCGTCTCTACCGGAACCTGTGAGAATCCTATATTCCCCTAAATTCTACGCAACTGTTATGCTTCGTTGACTGACACAGCCATGAAAACAACTAAACAGGATGATTCTGTGCCATATCTGAAAGCAATGATATCATATTGCCGTATTGGCTCTAAGATTTGGTACTCCGGTTTGGGCTCTGTTGGTACTGTGACAGCCAAAAGAGAAGTAATTGGCTTTCTTGATTATCAGGTCCTTCAATGGCTGAAGAATGTCCCCGAGAACCTGAGATTTTATTCGCCCGAACACTCTCTAAATGGGGACGGAATCGATCGGGAGACCCGACGTTTGCGTGTGTTGCTGTACATTCGCGGTAATCATATGAGGATACTTATTTACCGCCCGGTGCTACATTCCACTAGCGGCATCCTCGAGAACATGGGATATGCCGAAACCGTCGTCGACATTGCCAAAGACACCATCCGCGTCCTCGCTCACCTCAACCAGACATCTGACATCTATCGCTCTCACCAGATGCTCTTCAACTACTTCCTCGTCTCTGCATTGGCAGTTCTCCTTCTAGCCGTATCTCACGCCCCCGCTGAATTCAACCGCCAGGTACGCGACGAGTTCTACATGGCCCTGGACCTGGTAAAAGGGTTCAGTGCGAAGTCATACGTCTCGAAGCGCTTGTGGAAAATGATCAAGGGGCTACGCGGAATTGGAGAGAAACTTGGCCTGCTCAATCGTCCCGCCCCACCAGATCCGAATGACCCCCATTCAACTGCAGCTGTTGCCATGGCCGGATTAGCCGGCCACCCCATGGACGTGATGGCTGTGTATCGCGACATCAGCGCGAGTGGTGAGCTAGGAAACAGCCCACAGGATGGCGTTCAGATGAGCAATGAGCTGACGCACCTGTTTGAGGCTGTGGGTGGCTACGGTGGTTTTTTGGCCCAGACTAACAGTGCCGGGGATGGAGATGGCATTAATGGCGAGATGGTGAATGCCCAGGGCGATCTGACCAGTGCAGAGGGATTGGGTTCGATTCTCGGAAATGAAGCGGAGTTTGCCCGAATTATGCGAGATGTATTCTAGATGGCGGATAATTTGCGTCCCTTTGGTTTTCGACGGTAGTATCTTTATGAATGTCTTACGAATTTTAATTACATATATACATACATATATAGTTATTGGTTTGTATACTTTATATGATAAGGCAGTGGCACCTTCAAAAAAACGTCAGGAAGCAGAAAACTTGACCTCGCTAAGTGCGCCACTTGACCTCGTTATGTAAGCTGACCTCGCAAATGTGGCCTGTGCCACTACCTGACCTCGCACAATACATCTTTTCTTGTAATTTGAAACCACTCTTTCTTTCTTAATTATTTATCATCAATTCTATAATCAATTTTTAATTGATTGTAGAATAATTCTTTTCTCTTATTATAATCTTCATATATGAAGAAGACTTTATTAATTTTATTAATAATCACAATTCTTCTTCTAATACTGAGATTATTCTTATATATATAGAAAACTTAATTATACTAAGTATATTACTTAATCTCATTACATAATTATAACTCTGATCTTGTATAATACAGTAATAATCAGTTGATAATTAACTTTTAATCTTTTAATCACTTACTTATTTATTCACTTAATCTATTAATTAATTAAATTTTTCATTCTTTAACTAAAAAAGCTATGAAATAGTAGATATAACAGCTCTAGCTCAGATAGTAAGTAAAATATTATAAAAAAGACAGAAAATCTGATAATTTTTAATGAAAAAAATAAAGAAGCTGATTTATATTATTTTATAATTAAGTTATCAGCTATATTTTCAAGTAGTAATAGTAGAAGATCTTACTCTCTCAGAATATAAAATAGTAATTAATTAAATATTACTTAAGAATTAATTTTCAAAGTATATATAACTGATTTATAATCAATTAGATAAATAAGTAAATTTATATAGAATATAAAAAGATATTTTACAGAATTTCAGAATATATTAAGATAAAGATATTTAATAATTAATTTTAAATTAATTATTAATTAATTATAGTATTAATTCTTATTAATAAATAATCTTTATTATTATATTAATATATATGAGAGAATCTAAGTACTGAAGCAGTAAAAAGTAAACTGACTGCTAGAACTATGAATTTCACATTTAATTTTATTTAGTCTGATTTTATACATTTCTTAATATAAATTCTACTGTAATGTGACGGAACTGAAGCAGTGACTAGACTGACCGTGTGACCGTGTCTGAGACCAGAATCAGATTTTTTAATAGTCTCATTATCAATTCAACTGATCTCATTACACAGTTTTAACATTAGATAGTAGTCTTATACTATCTTAGTGAGACTTACTATCTACTCTTATCACATTTTTCAAATGAGATCATGATTTTCACTTCTCAATTTAAATTATTTTTATTGCTTTAAATGACTTTAAATCTCATTTAAGTGTTATCAAAAAGTGTTACTTTTTAAAAAATTAAAAATAGTCTAAAAAAAACCTTAAAATGTCTAAAAATAGTAACTTTATATCAAGAATGAGACTAAATAGAACTAAATGAGACTATTTTCTCATTTTTTTCAAGTCATGGTCCCATTTTAAAATCTGATATATAGTCACTTTGCATGCTTTTTTGATAGCCAGTCCCAGCAGGATTCATGTCAAGAAATGTATGAGATCAGATCAAATGAGATCAAATGTGAAATTCATGATCTCAGCAGTCAGTCTAGCAGTGACTAGTCAGTGATATTATGTAAAGATAGTTGTTTAAAAAGCTGTATAAGTGAGCTTGACTATCTTGCTTAAATAGTAAGCTCATAGACTACAGAGTTATTATAAGAATATCACAGATATAATATTTAGTATACTAAGAAGATTATATAAGATATATAGTAACTCTTATATATATTTCAGTAGAAGAAAAACAAATCACTGATTTCTTTAAT